GTTGACATGAAAATGTTTCACTCCTCACTCTTCCTTTCTAAACTAATTATTTTATTTTTAGTTATTTGACTAGTGCAGGATATTTGCTTGAGAATGGAATCTCTTCTTTAATAGGAAAGTGGATGAGAAATGTACAGATTTGTTCTGGGATGAGTGTTTTATCTAAGTTTTCTGCGAGCAGTTAATATTTATCAGTGGAAACAATGTAATTCCTCTGTGTAACATACTACCCATGTACAGGTGAGGAACCTCAACAGCGCCTGAGGTCCATCTGCTTCTGACACAGTACTTCAGAGGATTATCAACAGATGGTTGTCCACCCATTTGTAAAAGTCTCTAGGGAAAAATTCCAGTTGTTTTTTTCATCATGAACCATGTGTATTACATCCCTCTGTCAGGGAAATGTGCCTAGTAGCTGTCCAAATCCCTCCTGCTTTAATGTAGGTCCATTTCCTCTATGTGTGACCTTTGCTGATATGAAGAACAGCTGCTCACCATTCTCTGTGTAATGTCTTTTCACATGGGTCAGCCTTTGTATGTCAAGCTGAATTCTTGGCTGCCACAAAAGACTTGGGTAGAAAAGCCCAGTGTTTGATTTGGGAACAAAAATGCTATATGCTGATTGGACTCACTGTACTACAACACAGTTTTATTTTTCATAAGGTGGTTCTGTCTTTGAAATTGAGAATTATGATCTAATTTAAATGCACACATTTACAATATTAAGCTGATCCCTACTGTGCTACAAGTTGAAACATGTACTCCAACATTATCCTCAAAAAACTGCTACTTCACACAAGCCTGGTGCTGCTAAGAGTGAAAAGTGATCATATTAAGTGGTAAAACTTCCAAAGACCACTGAAAGAAATGACCCTTCCTCAAAGATCAACCACTGACATATTTACATGAATACATACAAGTACTGCCAAAGTACTCAAAGAAAATACTGTGTCCCGGTCACTATGCCTTATTACACAGTGTTATTCTAGATGGATTCCTGAGGAGACTGCCCATACCCCCATCTCTTGGTGTTCCCACCTGTGTGTGAGGGCAGACCTTGACTTGCCTCCAACAAACAATATGACAAAGGTGGGATGTACATGATTATGCAGTGGTGGTTGTGGGATTCCATGACAGAAGATTATAGTGCCCACCTTGCTGGAGTCTTTCTCCCTTGCTGGCTTTGAGGAAGCAAGCAGCCATCTTGGGGAACTCCATGTGGTGAGGAACTGAAGGTGGCTTCTAGAAGTAGAGCGGAACTTCTAGCCAATGGCCTGTAGGAGCTCCAGCCAGCACAAAGCATGAAAAAATCTCTCAGTTCTATAGTCAAAAGGAACAAAATCCTGCCAACGGTTTGAGTGAACTTGGAAGCAGATCCTTCTCCAGTTGACCCTCAGATGGGAATGCAGCTCTGGCTGACTCCTTGATTGGCCTGTGACACCCCTGAGCAGAAGAACCAGTTCAGCTGAACCTGGACTCCTTATTCATAGAAACTGGGAGGTAATTAATGTGCGTTGTTTTAAGCTGCTAAAATTATGGTGATATTGTTATACAGCAATAAATAATTAATACAGAGACCTTCAGTTTTTGTTTTTCTTTACCTTGAAATCTTTGAAGCATAAAGGCCAGTTATTTTGTAGGAAGTGCCTCAATCTGGGTGTGTTTGTACAGAAATCCCTCCATCTAATTCTCATGATTAGATTCAGATTTTAAGGAGGAATAACACAGAAGTGATGTGTGTCCTTTTCATTATATCCTATAAAGAAGTGTATATGGTTGGTTTGTCCCAGTATAAGTGATATTAAATTGATCACTTAGAAAGTTACCCACAAGTTTTCTCCATTTCTCCAAAGATACTACTTTTCCATAGTAACTAATAAGTAAGTTGTGAGGAGATACTTTGAGACAGTAAATATCCTATTCATCATCAAACTCTCATTAGTTTTAGCAAACATTAGTGCTTTTTTAACCACATGAATTCCTCTTGTTTGTTAGTTGCATTCTACTGTAAGGAACATTCTCTTCTCTATTTATTTACTTATATGAGTATAGAATCGCAGTTTCTTAGCAATGGCTTATAATTTGCTGTTTTACTATATGTTTTAACACTTAAGTTGCTCCAGCTTTGTTCATTAGAAGCTCCCTTCAGACATACCTTCTGTCCTTCCAATATGTTACCACCATTTTTAAGCCTTTCTTATTTTCAGGCAAAACAAGATTTTCCAGCACATCTTGTACTTTCCCTGTCCCAGACCTGGAACTTTTTCTCCAAAGCCTCCTGGTTTCTGAAACCAAAATCTGAGAACTAAGTGTACTCATTGCTACTAGAATGTCATCGCTTTTAGTGCTTCTCAGTGGCAGAGCTGGAATATAAAGAGATAAATTTAACAAAATATGTGCAAGACATATATACTAAAAACTGTAAGATATTGCTGGAAGAAATTTTAGAGACTGAAATAAATGGATAAATAGACAAGTGTTTATGGAATGTAGGACTCAGTATTATTAAGATGTCGATTATGAAGATACCTTCGGCTTAGCATCTCAGAAGGCTGCAAGCAGTATTTTGGCTGGGATTGTAGTCTTATCTGAGGCTTGACTGAAGAAATTATCTGCTTCTGTATTCATTCAGGTAGTTGGAGAATTCAGTTCCTTGTAGTTAGAAGACTGAGGGATTCGTGTTCTTGCTAGCTGGAGCTTCTTGTAGGCTGTCAGCTTGGAGTTACAACTCTTAGAAACTGCCCACATTTTCTTGTTATGTGGGATTTCCCCACATCACTTGCATAGACACACACACACACACACACACACACACGTAATTTTTCACCTCCAGTTCCATTTCAACATCACAATATACCTTCAAGTTTTCCCCCTTCAACAATGAGAAATCTGGATTTCCTTATATATGCAATATATTCACTCAATATTCTCAAGGCTAGAATATACAGAATTGCTGCAAGGGAACAGAAGATGACACGTAGTATGTGAAAAAAAGACAAGGCAGTAAAGACATTGTGAATATTAACAGTTTGTGTTCTCTTTTTTGGAAAAGAAATTTGATCATCATTATTTTGTTTGTTTTCTAATTGTATGACCAAAACCTTTAACTATAGACATAGGTAAAAGCCAAACCCTGCAGAATCTTATAAACCATATGAGAGAGTTTGGGTAATATTCCAGTACAGTGTGAATACACTGGAGGGCTTTCTGTTAAGTCACTGCAGAATTGTTTGTTGCAAATAGTATTAACAACATTTTTCAAGTTTTTTATGGATAATACTTATTACTTACTCATTCTTCAACTCATTCTAAAACAAGATTTGAGATGCTTAGTTCAATCCATATGAATAAATTAAAACAAAATAATTGAGCAAATTGGGATAAAAATAAATAAAATGGGGTTGGGAAACAAAAGCCCAGGCTGAGGCCAATTCGAAATATGGTTACCTTTATGTACTTTAAAGTTAAAAGAGGTATTGCTACAAATTTTATCTGAGTTTTCTAAAGACTAGAATCATCTGAAACACCTCATCTTCCAGTCCCTTGTAATATGCTTCCTTAGGCAACAGGCCTTCACAGCAACTCCCAACCCGCCATCTATACTACACAGAATTGAGATTCACTGATAGAAGAATCCACGGATTGTTTTTTGGGCAGTAATTTTCCAGAAACCTTTGTGGTTTCTGATAATGTAGCCCTTTCAGGTTAGGAGGAAAAAATGGACATTTGGGTAGTGCCTGTTTATTTAATCAAGGTAGACAATCAAAACACAATTCAAGTAAAAAATTCACTCTATCTTTAGTAGTTAGGTAGAGTTTTCAATTATAATTAATCTCCTATTAGGAAAAGGGCATGGATTTCCACAGAGAAAAATTGAGCACTGAAGAGAGTCTCTAGTTTATGATCACTATCATAGTAACAAACCAGGAAATAACTCTCATTTAAAAATCTGATATAATTTATCATGCATTACTTTACACTCAACTCCTTTGCTTGCTTTTTACTGGTGTGTGGTTACTTGCATGCAACAGTAAAGTTTCAGAGACCGAAGTTGCAGAGACAATTACTTATGCAAGAAGGAAAAACCATTGCATTGGGGGATTGAAGACATTTTAAAACGTCCTTAAATTATCAATTTAATTATGCGTTTCTCTGTAGTGAGTAAGTCTTACATTCTTGCCAAGAATATTTTGAAAGCAGCGTTTTGAAAGTATGTCAGCTAAATTACGTTGGGTATATTACTACTGTGGTATCATTCACACGTTGTGAGACATACAACTCCAGATGTAATACTGCCAAAAAAAAATTAGGTCATTGCAAAGTAACCTATTAAAACTGCAAATACGGGACAGGGAAATGGGGATGAAAACAAAACAAAGGAAGATACCAATATCCTTTTTGTAGCTCGTGATGGGTATCAGACAAAACGGTAGAAAGGCTGTGCCCTTGTAAACGGATACTGTGTGTGTGTGTATACGAGATTCCACTGAAATATTATTTCAACTGGGGCTGACTAGCTGCTCTGCACTGTAGCCGGGTAGCGCCCGTGCTCTGGAGTTAACCCGATTGTACAGAGGTGCTCCTGTTTGCTGACGTGATACACAAACCATCCGTGAGAATTTCTATACCTTTTCCCTTTCTCCAGAAAATCTTTTCCAGTCATGAAAAGAGAGTGTTCGATGCCAAGGATCTTAATTTGTCATTATTATTACTGTTGTTATTATTAACATTAAACACAGGAATGTCTTTGTTGGAAGGTACCAGGACCCGCACATCTGTTTCTGTTTCGGTGGCACACGCCCCAATAGCCCGACCGGGGCGCGGTCGGTGCCTTGGGCGCTGTGAGCCCCACGCGGGCCGGGCTTGGGAGGGAGGTCGAACCTCGCAGCCCCCGATCCAAGCCCCGGCGGTAGGACAGCTAGGCGGGGTGGTCATTGTTCTCCCAGGCCCGACCAAAAGCTGCAGGGTAACAGCTCCTCTCCCTTTCGGGCGAAACTTCCTCTAGCCGCCGCTGTCTGGCTTCCAGACGGGTCCTCGCGGCGGGACTTGGCTGCAGTGGGACGCTGCGAACACGCCCGCCGCCCCCTTCGCGGGCTGCCCTTGAGCAGGCTCCGCGCAGCGCACCCCAGCGGCCGCGTGGCCGCCCAGTCGCGGCCACTGAGCTTCCGGAGAGCTCGCCAGTCGCCGAGCGGCAGCCTCGGAATCTGGGCACTTGAGAGACTGCGAGGGGCAGTCTCGGCCGGACACCAGGAGGACGCGGGGCTGCTGCCCCCGGCTCGTCCGCCACATCTGGGACAGGAGGGCCGGGAGAGGCGGGGCGCGGCGGAGGCTGGCCGGTTCCTGAGCAGCTTCTCCGAAAGCCGGCCGCACTGCGGGCAGGCGAGGGGGGCGGTCTGGAGGCAGAGCCTGCTCCTCCTCGGGAGGTACCCCAGCTGGGGCAGAGGACAGCGCCAGCCAGCCGCAGAGACGCGCCGCGCCTATCATGGAGCGGGCGGGCGCTGGGTCGGCGCGGCCACAGCCCCGGGACCAGGACTCGGTAGAAGCGTGGCTGGACGACCACTGGAACTTTACATTCTCTTACTTCGTTAGGAAGGCTACCAGGTAAGACGAGGACTCACGAAAGAACCGGCCGGGGCATGGAGCGTGACCTGGGGCTGATCTCTCTCTCTTGTTGAATTTTCCCCTAGTTCACCGTTGAACCTCCGTTCCCAGGTTCTTTGCTTTTCCAGTAGGTCCTTGCCCGTTAAGTGTAGAGCCCTCAGCTTTAAGGCGAGCAGAGCGTCGGATTCGATCCAACTTGCCCACAAAGTTAAAATACAAAAATGTACATGCCGACCCCTCAACACTAGGCTGCCCGGGTATGACCTGGGAGCAAGATTATCGTACATCCGCGCTCACGGGCCTCCCTCCAGCCCTTCTCCAGCCTGTGGTCCCCCTGAATTTCCTTAGCGAAGTCAGAACAGTTTTTGAGTTCCTTCCCTGCAGCTACGGAAGCACCATTACCAGCTCGGTCCCGGAGGCTCGGCGCCTCCCCCGCTCGTCCCCAGTCCCGGCCCTGGCGGGGCGGGGAAGCCGGGGCAGGGGCGAGACCACGGGGAAGCCCAAAGGCAGCAACATGCCGGAGCCTTTCCAGAGTAAGTGCTGTCTGTCGCCTTCTGCCCGCGTCCAGTCCCCTGCGCGTCCCGCGCGCCTCGTTTCGCGGCTCCCGCGCCTACGGCGGCGCTGCTGCGCGGGCTCCGTAGTGGGTTCGCGAGGAAGGCGGGGCGGGCAGCGCAGCGCGGGGCGCTGGCGGGTCCTGGGCGGACCGAGCAGACCCAGAGGCAGTGCGTCCTGGTCGGGAGCCAAGCGCCCGGGCGGCCGCTGCGGAGGGCGGGGAGCGGGGAGCCTGTCCTACGAGAGGCGGCTGCGTCGCGGGCGGGCGGGCGGCTGCGTGGGAAACGCCGGCCGTAGAGTTGGGAGGTTGGGGTTGAAGCCGCGGGACGAGGAGGGCGGAGCGGAGAGTGCGCGGCGGGCGGGTCCCCCGCAGCCTGAAGGGAGAGTGCATAGCCGGGGCGCGGGCGGCACAGGCGCTGCACGAGGACTCAGCTCACTCCAGGGCGCACCTTTTGGAGGGGGGCCTGAACCCCTTGGCCGCCGGCACCCGCGGCGGCCGCCAGCCAGACCCGCAGGGCGGTGATGGTGAGCGGCCCGCCGGGGCGCTCCGCTGGGCTCCCTCCCGCCGGCGCGCGGCTCTGCCCGGCGCTCCCCACCAGGGGGCGGCGCCGCGCGGGGCTGGTCGGGGAGCCGGCTCCCAGTCACTGGCCGCACCTGGGCCCGTCGTCGCCCCCCGGAGCCTCTTGGAGTCCAGGGTCCGCCGAGGCCACCGGATCTGCACCTCGAACTTCCCACGTTTGCTATGTTGCCCTTTGGAGACAAAACAAGGTAGTTCCTCAGCATCCCATCCCCACCCCCACCCCTTCCCACTGACCCCGGGGGAGCGGCGGGGGACGGGTGCTGGCGTCCGGGTCAGCCGGCGGGGCGATGCCTCATTGCAAATGGACTGTAGGACACTGTCTTCCTATACTCCCTTGCGGATGTGTTACTTTGGGGTCCTAGGTGGGGCTCTTCATCCCTATTTCTCCGAGCTCCTGTCGGCTTGTTCAGTTGCAGGGGTTTTTGACAGCGGCGACGGCTTTGGGACAAATCTTACTTCTTTTAAAATCCTCTTCCCCACTTCCGCCTTCTTCCTTCAAAACCCTAAATCCAGAAAGACCAGAAGATAAACCCTAAGAGGAAAGTGGTTTCTTTTCTAAAGACACTTCCCTGCGAGTTTAGGGTTAGGCGCTAAGGCCATCCAGGTCTGGAATTATCCAAGGCCGTAGGCCGATAGTTTGCAGAGGTCACCTGCTCCTCCGAGGTCATCTGTCCCCAGTTTCCTCTGACTCTTGCACACACTTCCACTTTCTGCCCTCACTGAATTGCAGCGCAGAGAACGGGGAGTGGGCAAGAGAACTGGGCTGTGTGGGGTGGAGGGAGGCGATGGGGGTGCGTTCTTTAAGCAGATTATTAATATTTGATAGAAAGAAGTTACTTGATTTACAAATCAACCTAACTGTCCTCTTCATTTTTCTCCCCTCTCTCTTTAAAGACATAAACTTGTAGGAGTTTCGAACTAGCCATATATAGAACACTTTCAGAGCCTGCCAAAACTTTGGAAGTTACTTTTTGTTGGAAAATAAAGTGAAAGAATTAAGTCATGTTTCTTTTCACATTACTTCTTCTCCCAAGTAGCAGAGGATTAAAATCCTAATTCTCAAAATTACACTGCTCAGTGTGAAATTTAGATCATCTGACACTCTGTGATGTCAGGTTAGGGCTTTTATGTTGTAGATATTAACAATATATTGACGATAAGCTGAACACTTTCTTTGAGACATATATATGTATTCTTAAGAGTTTATGTTGAGTTTAAATTGGAAAACAAACGTGTAAAATGTTTTCAGAGTAGTACAGGCCCTCAATTTTAGGAGTTATAAAGTGCTGAAATTTGTCAGTGTAAAAAATATAACCTAAGACTTTTTGTGTAGCCAGAAGTTCTTCATAAAACAACATTCCAGTTTAGGCTTCCATTTGGTGGCATTTACTCTGAAGACTTAAAATAAGATTGAGAGATTGGACGTTGGTTGATTATAGAAATGCCATACTGCTAAACCCAGTTGTTGTGGTAAACACTTATTGCAGACATTTTAACTTAACTTTAGAGCTAAGATTTTTTTTAGCTAGAAGCTCACATTACTTTGCTTTTCCCTGTTTTGTTACACTTGGTAAATGTAACATCATTACTGTGTGTGATTCAGGAAACCCATGAAACCGCTCTGTAGGGGCATTTGAAATGTTTTAAAATTTAAAATAAATTTGAATTCACTTAGATTGGTCACATGTGCCTGTAAACAGGCGTGTTGATGGAACTATTGCACATTATTTAATTGTCATTTGACATGCACGTGTGTTTCTCCATGCTATCCCCATACTGAATAATCTGTACTCAGTAATAGTTGAACAGAATGAAGGTTCTGGAATCCCTAAATTCTCTCTTAAACGTCTGTGAATTTTGGTTGACCTTAAAAGCAGTTATGCTGCTATACTACATTGTTTCCTGTAACTATCTTCAAATACTGAACTAAACACCTCATTAAAAAGCTGTAGCCCCAAGCATAGCTGCTATTTAGTAATCACAACTTGAATTTGAGAGTGTTAGTTGAACAATTCCTAACATAATCTATTTTCATAGAAAATAACTATAGACTAGTAGACTATAATATATGGACAACTCCCACCCTCACTATTCTAGACAACTTTGCAGTCCTACAGGCCTGAGATACTGTTAATTAAGGGCTCTAATGCACATGCATTCACAAAGTCTCCCTGGTGCTAATGCCACTTAACAGCTGTTACTCTTGACAGCATATTACGGTAATGTTACCTTTCATTAGTTACTAATCAGTTCTGTGATATGGGTGATGTTTTAGATCATTTAGTATTGTAGGGGTAAAGATTGACTTTTTATTGCTTTGTTTTGTAGCAGGCAAAAGCTTGAGAATATTTGGCATATACTGGAATAGGAGACACTAAATGAGCACAAGTTTTATGACCATTTAGATCAAAGTCCAGAAACAGAAGTTTTACACTTCATGTAGTTTTCTATGGCAGACTTTATTTGACACTGCAGAGCTGTGCTGAAGTAGTTGACGTTCTGAGTCCTGTGTTTAGGATTCTATCATTTTGTAATTTTTTTCTCATCTCTAAAAGCTGTAACTTTTTTTGGTATATTTCTATTAAAATCAGGTGATATAAAATATTGCCATCCACTCATAAAACTTACTGCTGTAAAGGAATATCTTTTTACACACTTTTCAGACAAATCTGTTGAGCAGATTTTATTAAGCAATCATTAGTACTGAAGTTAAAAAAAAACCTGTAGGCATTGTCTCAGTCTAATTTTGATATTACTTATGTTTTTACCAAAGTAATTCTGATGCAGATAGGTTTTTTTTTCTTGAATTGTTTGTGTTCAGGGTTCATAGCAAGCTCGAAGCTGCCTTTCAGTTCCCTGAAAGTACTCATGTGCACTAAATTCTTTCCTGGAAGAATCTGTAGATGTTTCTCATTGCCCTTCTACCTCTGGTCTCCTAGTTTCAAATTCAAATCCATTTTAGAGCCTGCAAATACAAGGGAATGATTTCAAAAAACGTGGTAGAATTAATGAAGTGGAAATTAGTCAAAGTTGGATATTGAAATAAATCTATTTGCTGAGTATAATACAAACTTAAATAGTCTTGTAGTATGTACAGTTCTGTAGCTTTTTTTTTTTAGATCTGTAGACATCACCAGCATACTCATAAGATCATGTTTTCAGGACTAAAAGATAAGCAGTTGTTAGCATTTGGATTATGTTGTGCAACAAAATTTCCTTTTTAAATAATTCCACCAAAATAGAATATTTGTCTCTGGTCTCTGTCATTCCTTTTAAAATATTTGAAACTGCTTCAAGTTGTATAGGTAAAGGGTGTACCTTCACCCTTATCTGACTGTAGGTAATGTGTCTTGGTAAGATGCTCCCCTTCTTCTAGATGTGAAAACACAAATTAGAACTTTGCTTAAACTTCCCGATATGTTTTAATAATTGGGAAAGATTATGTCCTAACTGAAAAGGCTAAACAGAACTGCTTGGTATTTATTAGTTTATCCCCCAAACACTTTTCAATCTAGAAATCTGTTAACCTATAACTGTTGTGTAGAGTTAGATTTGTTCTCTGTTCTCAGAGCTGATTATAGGATAAAAGCCTTTAGTAAGGACTGTTAGATCAGTTAAACCACTGAGTTGATTGATAATGGAGGGTCGAAGAATTACTCATTTCTGAATTTAGGATTCAGACTAGGTACTGACTTACTGTGAAATGAGTTGAGCAGGACAGATGTAGATTCAGTTGCCCAGTGTTACAGTTGATGGATGTGGCCTAGGATATATCTTGTTATATCAGATTCTCAGTAAAAAGTGCCTGTGAGCTACATACCTAAGGAATAAAAATGGAAGAAAGTCTTTCCATATGAATCATTCATCT